ATATTGTTCACAAATCTGTTTAAATCTGTGTTAGTGAGCACTTCTCCTTTGCCGAGATAATCCATCCACCTCACAGGTGTGGCATATCAAGATGCTGATTAGACAGCATGATTATTGCACAGGTGTGCCTTAGGCTGGCCACAATAAAAGGCCACTCTAAAATGTGCAGTTTTATCACACAGCACAATGCCACAGATGTCGCAAGTTTTGAGGGAGCGTGCAATTGGCATGCTGACTGCAGGAATGTCCACCAGAGCTGTTGCCCGTGAATTTAATGTTCATTTCTCTACCATAAGCTGTCTCCAAAGGCGTTTCAGAGAATTTGGCAGTACATCCAACCGGCCTCACAACCGCAGACCACGTGTAACCACACCAGCCCAGGACCTCCACATCCAGCATCTTCACCTCCAAGATCGTCTGAGACCAGCCACCCGGACAGCTGCTGCAACAATCGGTTTGCATAACCAAAGAATTTCTGCACAAACTGTCAGAAACTGTCTCAGGGAAGCTCATCTGCATGCTCGTCGTCCTCATCGGGGTCTCGACCTGACTGCAGTTCGTCGTCGTAACCGACTTGAGTGGGCAAATGCTCACATTCGATGGCGTCTGGCACTTTGGAGAGGTGTTCTCTTCACGGATGAATCCCGGTTTTCACTGTACAGGGCAGATGGCAGACAGCGTGTATGGCGTCGTGTGGGTGAGCGGTTTGCTGATGTCAACGTTGTGGATCGAGTGGCCCATGGTGGCGGTGGGGTTATGGTATGGGCAGGCGTATGTTATGGACAACGAACACAGGTGCATTTTATTGATGGCATTTTGAATGCACAGAGATACCGTGACGAGATCCTGAGGCCCATTGTTGTGCCATTCATCCACGACCATCACCTCATGTTGCAGCATGATAATGCACGGCCCCATGTTGCAAGGATCTGTACACAATTCCTGGAAGCTGAAAACATCCCAGTTCTTGCATGGCCAGCATACTCACCGGACATGTCACCCATTGAGCATGTTTGGGATGCTCTGGATCGGCGTATACGACAGCGTGTTCCAGTTCCTGCCAATATCCAGCAACTTCGCACAGCCATTGAAGAGGAGTGGACCAACATTCCACAAGCCTGATCAACTCTATGCGAAGGAGATGTGTTGTACTGCGTGAGGCAAATGGTGGTCACACCCAGATACTGACTGGTTTTCGGACCCCCCAATACAGTAAAACTGCACATTTTAGAGTGGCCTTTTCTTGTGGCCAGCCTAAGGCACACCTGTGCAATAATCGTGCTGTCTAATCAGCATCTTGATATGCTACACCTGTGAGGTGGATGGATTATCTCGGCAAAGGAGAAGTGCTCACTAACACAGATTTAGACAGATTTGTGAACAATATTTGAGAGAAATAGGCCTTTTGTGTACATAGAAAAAGTCTTAGATCTTTGAGTTCAGCTCATGAAAAATGGGGGCAAAAACAAAAGTGTTGCGTTTATAATTTTGTTCAGTGTAGGTAGATAGATAGATAGAATTTAAAATAAAATTGACAATACAATAAAATAATTTTTTATTTATTTAATAAAATTAAAAAGAAAAAAAACTCAAATAACATATAAAATAAAATCTAAAATACAATTAAATAGAATAACAAATAAAATAAAACGAAATTGTAATGAAACAAAAATAAAATAATATCTAAAATAAAATAAAATATAAAATAAAAGACAAAGATATAAACATAGAATAAAATAAAAAATAAAATGAAAAAAAACTGAAATTAAATTAAACAAAAATAAAATAACCTTTTTGAACACTAAAATAACATCTATAATAAATTAAAATTAAAATCTAAAATGAAATAACATTTCAAATACAATAAAATCTGAAACAAAATAAAAACTAAAATAGAATTGGATAAAAGAAAATGAAATAAACATAAATCAAATCTAAAGTAAAAGAAAATTAAATCTAATAAAAAAGAAAATTCCAAATGTGCAATAAAAACACATTAAACAAACCCTTTAACTAATAACTTTAACTAATATTTACACAAAATCACTGACTAAATTTTAAAAAAAAATCTCTAAAATATTAAATAAAGCCATTTCAAAAGTGAATCCGTAGGTTTAATACTGCTGATATTTTAAACAATCAGTACACATTGACTCACATACACAGGAATTCAGAGAGGACACAGATATTGTGAGATTGTATAAAAGTTTATTGTTTAGTATTTGATGGCAAACAGCACAAATACTAAAATCTGACACAGTGTTTTCAAAAGCCCTGCTTTGGAAAAAAAAATCAAGTTGAGATTCAAACATCTCTATAATAAGCCTGTATTAACAATGTACTTCCTCTGAATTCATGCATTCGTGTGTATCTGTGTGCGTTTGTGTAACAGAAAAGATTCTGAATGGAAGTGTGTGTGTGTGTGTGTGTGTGTGTGTGTGTGTATAATGATTTCAGAACTCAATAGAGACAAGAATAACAGTGACATTGTCCGCACTGCTCCGCCTCACAGCCTCACTGGCCAATCGCTGACAGGCTGCCTCAAATCGCCCCGCCTCCTCACTCTGCCCCTCCTTCTGCTCCACAGTCTCATTCTAAAAAACAAAACAATTTTAACATACAATACACACAGCAGAGTTATTTTAGAAATAAGATACTATTACAGTTTTTATTAATACTTCAAAAAAAAAATTTCATTTTAATTTTAATTATTTTTAGTAATTTTGTTGTGTTTTTGTCATTCTTATAAATTTTTTGTTAGCTTTTTTTAAATATGTCTATATAGTTTTTATTACATTTGATTTCAGGTTTATTTTTTTGTTATTTTAGTACATCAAGTTAAAGTAAATTAAAAGAATATTTATTATATAATAAAATATTTTTTTATATTTTATTTTAAGTTAACGCTTATTTTTCAAGCAACACATTTTTTAACAAAGTTTTTATATTTTTATTTCAGTTTTATTTTTTATTTTAGTGTAAGTTAAAGTAAATTAAAATAATGTTTATTATATAATAAAATAAGGTTTTTATATGTTATTTTATTTCAGTTAAAATTTTCAAGTAACATATTTTTTTTAAGTTTTCGTAAATTTTATTTCAGTATATTTTTTGTTATTTTAGTATACATCTGGATTAAGTAAATAAAAATAATATTTTTAAGCATTTATTTTTCAAATAACAATTTTTTAATAATTTTTTTATTTAGTGTTCTATAATAATGCTGGCACATAGAACAAGGAAGTGCATTAAAATACACACCTCTAGAATGTTGAGGACGAACTGAACGGCCTCGTCTGCAGAAAACACTTTAAAAAGCCCATCGCACGCCAACAGAACAAACCTAAAAACACAAATCCTTCAAACAAAGTCCTACAGGTTTGAAACCACACAATAGTGAGAATGCTTTCTGGTAAACAAAGTGTTTCTGCATTAAACCCACCTGTCATTTGGACTGAGTTGACAGCGCCGCACGTCCGGAGTGGAAATCACTCCACAGCGTTTATACTGACCGTCACCGATGGAACGAGACACTTCCAGCACTCCCAGCACACGACCGTCCCTGCGAACACACACTCTGTTACAGCAACCACGACCCGCATCCCAGAACTACGGTGACTGAGAAGTGCAAAACAAATCACAATTCTGAAAACAAAATAACAAGTCAGAAAACACTACACAAGGAACAAAACACAAGGACAAATCAGACAAACCGGGAGAGGCAGGTATAGTTTGAGACAGCGCCATTGGTGTGAGAATAGATTACTCACCGCTGACTGGACGAGACATCTGTCAATCAAGGTGTTCAGGAAGAACAGCAGAGTAGCGGTAGAAAGTTTGGAGATGGTCTTAAAGTAACACAATTAAAATGTATTGTATGAATTGCCTTTACTATGGAATAAAAAAAAATATGCATGTACATTTACAACACTGTACTTATATTACCTTTGAATCAGATTACAAAAAACTAGTTAAGGCTAATGCGAGGGTGTTTCTAATGCAGCGTCTATGGGAGGGACGGTACATTTAACATAGTTCTCTCTTCTGACTGCGTTCAGTCTCTCTCTCTTTTTTTATTATAAGTCGTGAAAACACTATCGTGGCAATTTTCTTTTGCTATTTGAGCAAATGGGAATGCAAAAAATAAAAATAAAAAATAAAAAAACAGGCAGAGGTGTGTTAAATTGGGATTTCTGTGGGGCAGAGAGAATTTAAAGGGGAGACAGTTTTTTTTTATTAGGAAAATTAAACTGGAATTGAGTTATATCAAACAGCATTAAAGTCCCCATGAAATCAAAATTAAAGTTTTTTGGGTGTTAGTATCAATATGTTAGTCTTAAGGTTATCTATAAGCCAGTGTGCTCCAAAACAGTGACAAAATTCGCATTTAGAAGATATAAGCATTCAAAGCTTGCAGTTCGTCACTTCCGCCAAAAC